AATACGAAGCAAGGAACCAACAGGGCACCACACGAGGCACCCATTATCAATTAAACGTTGTTCTGGTGAATAATTGTATATGAATATATACGCAGCAACAGTTAATCACACATAGCAAATTGAATCAAACCAAGAAACAGTGCACATAAACAAAAAAGAAATCATTTGACGAGGAAAATAAGAGGTATCCATGATAATCCAATAACAAGAAGAAATCTTTCAGAATACCATCAATTTTATTATCTGACAAACAAGTTTCACATTTCTCAGCTAAATTGTCATGATCCCATCACCATTTCTTTTTTACACATGCGTGCATCTCATATTCATCGCCACACAGAATTAGCGTATGCTCGCTAATATGCCGCATTGTCGATACCCCGTAAAATAAGATGGGCGCCTGTTTTTGCGCGTGTGATTGATTCAAAGCATTGTGACTGACGTCGCACTACAGAAAAAAAAATCGAGCAGTGAACGACTGCAACAAATGATTTGCTACTAAGTGGTCTTTGGAGACCAGTCGCTTTCTGGCTAACTTGGCTACGCTAGCAGTTCGTGCCAAGTGTGAACGCGTCTCAAAGGGCCCCTCACCAACCCACCTGCAAACACGAGGAAGTATTGAAAATGAGTACCACGGAACCTTGCAAGGTGGCGGAAGGACAATACATGTGTCCGTGCTTCGAGCCGAATGAATTCACCCTCGCGCTGCCAATAGCTAGGTTGCTGGTTAGCTCGATTGGTAGAACGACCGCCCCGGCAAGTCGTTCGTCCCAGGTTCAAACTCGGGACCAGGACAATTTTTTCCGTGACTAAGAGGCTTTTCTTTCTGACAAATTAGAACCGATTTATTTTTGACTTCGTGTGACAAATGGGTGGTTGTGCATTTTCCTATTCCCAAAGACAAGAAAGCGGTCATTACCGCGTAAAATATCGCTATGGTTCCTTCAGGTGATATCTCCTTTTCGACACATCTTTCTTAAAAGCGTGTGTACAACGTCAACACTAGGCGCTGGGCCTACCTATATCTTGTGCTTGTCGGATTAAAGCTGTTGTCCCCGCTGGCACACTCGCTCACCCACAAAACGAAGCGAAATCAGTTGACCACGCACAATCTCATGCGAGACAGGGAAAAACGTATGGCCAGTTGCATCGCGAAGAAATCCATGAGACAATTCACATCAGATATTCCGCGTATAAGGACCTATCTAGAATGTGTAGGCCACACGAATCACTGATCTTTATTTTTTTTAATTTATGATACTGCTAGTTCCAAGTAGGGGTTGTGGCAGGGTATATCACACATCAAAACAACAGTGAAAAAAAGAAAACGAAGCTTGAAGGAAACGAGAAACTACAGGAGCTAATAATGAACTCCTTTTCGGTATTTTCAGAGACTGCCGAGGGGCCATTAAAGTTGCATTTCGAAATGAGGGTGCCATGTCGCTAGGGTTTTAGAGCAGGCCCCGCCACCTGCGCCACATTCTAGCAAGGGTGAGAATCCAGCAAGCCCTTGCCTCTGGGGTGCGCCTGATTATTCTGGCCAACAAAACAACTAACGGGCTCATTTTCGCTGCCACAGCCATACATAGGCACGCATGATGATGCGCAATCATTCAAGCGCATAAAGAAACGAAAAGGCCAAAACGAAAATCGATAGACAAAGAAAAAATCGGCCCCGTATCTCCATGATAATCTGCAAATGCCGTAGAAAGACGATAGTCTTGCGTGTGGAGAGAGCGAACGAAACAATTAACACTCATGGATAAATGCTAGAAGCACACTTGCTAGGTACCCACTAAGTTATATATATTCAGAAATTCTGCACAGTAGGCTGGTATTCACTATACCATCCTTCGTCATTTTTTTGGGGAAGCACGGTTCCCCCTAAAGACTTGCAATGAATTTTCTATTGCATTCAGCGGCTGACGACGAAGAAGAATTAAGCATGAATTGGGTGTTTGATACATTATGAGATAAAAAAAACAGCTTTCGTAATGTGTGGGAGCGTTGGACGACCCACACACTACGATTCACATCGTGTGAGGCCCGGTTGTTCCTTTGCTGTTCTAAAACGCTTTATTACTCATCGTGATTCCTTTCGAAACATCAAGCCTGCCTAAAGCAAGTTGGCGTACTAGTTACAAGCACCAGCATAGCTCAGCGGTCGAATACTGGGCTGGCACGGAGTGGACCCGGCGTCGAATGTCACTATGTCACCTGATGTCTTCAGTGTTTTTTCTTAGTTGTTTTCTTTATTTCATGCAATAGTGGTTAGGGACACCGGTGGTGGCGGACAACTACGGCGCTGCGCGTTACCCGTGTCGTGATCTCATAACAGCTTTCGCTGTAATACCAAAAGCGACATGCAAGAACCAATGCGTAGGCTTCAACCAAGCAGAAAGTTGGACGAGTATGTCCCGATTCACGCTTCAGAAGGCGTGGACTTGAATACAACGCCTTTGAATGTGAGGAATAAATTTGCCAATGTAAAACGAAGGTACCAGGCGTACATGGCGCGGAAAATTTGCCTCATCTCTTCATCCTCGAGGAAACCGTCTGAAGACGTACGTGACTTCGGAAGTGAGCGGCCGGTTTGATCCAGGAAGGAAAGTTTTTTGGAAGCAGTGTATAGCATCCCGTTTCTTGCCCTTAGGGCACGCTCTTCTTATAGCCTACTGGTTGTCATTCTGCGATGTATTTCACGATCCTGACATTGAGAAGAGAAAAAGGAGGCGATACGGCATTTGTACAATTGTTTTCCTCTTTAACTTTTCGTTTAAATTTTTCTTTGATTTATATTGCGGATCGCAGTTTTGAGTAGGGAACAGCGGTAGCAGTTGTTTGTAACAAATAATATGGAAGATACTGAAATAACGATAAGGAAATCTCAACTCGGCGCTGTTAGAGATCTTACAATATATATATATATATATATATATATATATATATATATATATATATATATATATATATATATATATATATATATATATATATATATATATTGCCACGCTGTGTTGGTGGGAAAAGACGAGAGCGAAGAAGTGAATGGCAGCTGTGGCTGAGTAAACAGTCCTCCACTTCGATTTCCTGCCTATCGTTTTCTCTCGCGACAATAGATATATATATATATATATATATATATATATATATATATATATATATATATATATATATAGTGAAGAATAAAGGAGCACACTTACGAAAATTTGACGAAGGCCTGAAAATTTGACGAAATCCTGACGAAGGCCGTGCGACGGCCGAAACGTAGAGTAAACAATTATCAAATTTTCGTAAGTGTGCTCCTTTATTCTTCACTATGATTGCACCGGACCCACAGAATTTCTTTTTTGAATCATATATATATATATATATATATATATATATATATATATATATATATATATATATATATATATATATATATATATATATATATATATATATATATATATAGGCAGGCATGGTGGTTGAGTGGCCATAGCGTTGCATATAGTCCAGTAGATCCTACGTGAGCGGTCACAACGTGGTTTACTTCGACATTTCGGCCTAGAGTCTGGCCTTCATCAGGATGAAGGCCTTACTCTAGGCCGAAACGTCGAAATAAACCACGTTGTGACCGCTCACGGAGGATCTACTGGAATATATATATATATATATATATATATATATATATATATATATAAACTTCGCAGGAAAAAAATGGGATGTGTTGCTTTTCGTTCATAGGCGGGCCATTTAGGATGAGGAAGCAGATGAGTGGGGAGTTAGCAAATGAAACCGCACTACTAACAAAATCAGAGGTTTGCTATTAGAGAAGTACTTAGGCCTTCTTTATTTAGTCGCATGAGCAATGAGCAGTTTCTCTTTCAATCACTACTAGTCCATCACTTACGTTCCATTAATGGAATATTCAGAAAAGATCTTAAAACTTAGACTGACATGAAGTCGATGGTTCTCATTAAAATTGAGAATTTATACAGGGTTTAATGATGTAGGAGCATTATTTTACTGAAGACAAGGGCCGACCTACCGTTTATAACAGAGTTTTCGCAATGTGACTGCAGCGAGAGAACCCACAGTCGAGCAGAAGCAGCCAAACTGGGCCCTGTCGTAACTAGAAGTCAACATGACTTCCACGTGCCCCCCCACCCCTCCTTTTTTTAGGATGAGGCATGCCAGGCAGGGCTGTCGTAGAAAGACCGGCGTGAAACAGGCGTTTCACCTTTTTTCCCGGTACTGCCATGGTATAGTCCTGCTCGTACGATCGACGCAGAGACGACGTTTAGATACGATGCTCACGAGCCTTTCTTTAAGATGCAAAGCACTACTTTGACTCATGTGTGTAACGCGATACGTACGTGTGTCCGTACGAACGCGCGGCCACGCGTTTCCTTCGCCGTAGGTGTTGGAGCGTTGCCAAGTAGGTCATGCCGCAGCCTCGCAGCTGCACGCTGACGTCACTCTCTCCCTCATTCGCAGCACGCTTGCTGCAACGCCCGCAGCTGCCGGCTCCTACACCCGCTCGCAACATACTTCTCCCACGCTTCACCTTCTCCATCTCCCGAAACTCTCAACCACTCGTCGAGTGGAAACACTCTTTCAGCTCGCTTATCTGCGATAAAACTTACATGAAACCCAACTTGCATACAATGTCTTTGCGTTTTAAACAAACATTTACTCGAGTGAACGCTACACTGAGTTTCAGTTAAACCGTTCTTCCAGCCACCGTGGCGACGACCGTTTCAAACGGGTCAACGCCATGCGCACCGCTTCTGCTTCGCTTTCCATTAGGGTTCTCTTCGTATATGTAGTCCATATTTTTATCAAGGCCTTAGATTAGTCCAAAAACACGAAATGTGAGCGTCGGTGTCGTTAAAGCGTCAACAAGAGAGGCATAAAAAATTGTGCTGTTAGCCTTATAAGTGCTCATAACATCAGAGGTTGCCCAAAGTTTGTGGTCTGATAATGGCATAACATGTATGTGACATAATGCCGGGTCACATGATGACGTCACCACTTGGCATTATCGCTTGGTGGAATGGGGGCCAGTCCCGGTGCCACTGACTGCTAGACTTCGTGAGGTGCATAAAGCTTTCCATGAGTCCGATTACGCGGGCTCTGCAAAACCACGTTACGCACAAAAATCTTTTGGTAGAGTGAGCGTGAGGACGTCTATATAATCAATTAAGAAGCAAAAAAATTATACTTGTGTACGCAAAGAATCAAGTGCCACTTAATGTTAGTGCGATTGCGGCTGACCAAAAGGCCCCACTGTCCCTTACGAAGTCGCCTAAGGTGGCTCCGTGTTGATTATGTTGATCTTACCACCAGCAGCAACACCTCACACGAAAGCATACTGCATCTAACGTACTTTTGCGCTGCCTCAATGATCGGCGAACTTTTGATCAAGCATTGACGACGTGTTACATACAAGCTCACGGTGTGACATCATAACGAGGTCACAGACTTTTTTAGATCTGTGACACCATGGTTACGTCCCTAAGGGACGCTACAACCACTTTGTCTAAGATCACTGGTACTTTTTGAAACAGCTTGTGTGAACACCAGTGCCTCCAAATGTATCAACGGGACGAATTTCCTGAAGCACTGCCTGAGTTAAAGCAGTTCGTAAGTCTTTTGCCATTCTTTCCCAGTGTGGCATTTTTTATGGCCTATCTGCGCTTCGTCTCACCTCGCGATGACCTGGAGGCTCCCCAGTTCGCCATAACCTGGAAAAACACGTCAGACGGACCTTTTTCGTCTCCCGAAAATCGGCTCTTTCAGGAAGCGCGCCCTTTTGTGACAAAGAAAACTCACTCCCCTGGCCTGCCACGCCAGGCCTTACAGACAGCAGTCCGAAATTCTTGATTTGAGATAAGCTGAGGAGGAGGTTAGCATCAATAGTTTACGCTAACTATCCTATAATTCATTAGTCGTGAATTTCTTACGTGGTTAACTTTTGCTTATAGATTATTTGTTTCATGGCCAATCTCCCAGAGTGGGTGTTAGCCATACGTAGAGGTTACTATCATCATCATCATCATCATCATCATTCGAACAAGCTGCACCAACACAGGCAGAGCATCCAAACACCGAAACCAAAAGTGAAGCTTCGGAAACCATTAAAACGCGTGTCTAGGGCTGCTTTAGAAGGATCCCATAAGGATAAAATGTGAGGAAATAGACAATAAGAAAACGTGTGACACAGGTTGGGTGTGGGCGGACCGGAAATGACGCATGAGGCAGGTAATGTAAGGTGACGTTTTGAAAAGATGGGAAAGAAAGAGTAAAATTGATTAGAAAACAAACACTTGTACATTATAAATACTACGAGCAAGGTTGAGTCCCAAACCCTTCGGAGTTGTCAAAATTTGCCGACAATGTTTGCAGGAAGTGACAAGCGGCACAGCGAGCTCACGTTCAAATGGCAGCACCGACACAGCGCATTGTTTCCTGTTGCTATTGCAACAGTCAAAGCTCAGAAAAGTGCTTATTGAACGAAACCTTGAATCGGCAAAAGGAAAATGACTTGGAGTTGTGGGCTGCACAGATGGAAGGACTGAATCCTACACGCCCTTGGTGTTCATCTGTGTCTGCACTTACGTATATGTGTGCGTGTGTGTGTGTGCGCGCGTTGCCTTAAAAGAACTCTTTCTCCCAGCGTGCGCGCTCGGAGAAGGGGTTCCTATCATGGAGCTCAGAGAACGCGGAACTGCTTCTTAAGCCCAAGAATTCCTCAAACTCACTCACTTTGTACAGTTTTAACAGCAGCTTGCATCGTACGCACATGCATCCGCGAGGTCTGTTTCTTTTTCTTTCTTTTCATTACCGCCGTTTGAGTAAGGCCGGGATTTAGTTTTAAGGCGGTGCGTAGCCTGATACTCGCTAGGCTACGCATTAGAAGACTCGGTTTGCTGCGCCTACCCGCTAGGCTGTGTGTTCTGGTGCGACCATCAGGTGTCGTAAACTGCATTGCCGGGTGCTTATAGGTTGCTCTTAGGTTATTGCTACATTTTAGCTAGATGGTGATAGGTTGTTTACGAGTCGATTGTGAGCGCGGAGAGGTTAGAGTTACACCACACACAGTCACAGCACGGGCACGTTAACGTAGGGCCTTCCACCGCTTCGGGATCTTCGCGCAGCCGCCACGACCTTCCGCGTTCGGTTGTACTTGTCTCGCTGTACGTGCTCGGGGCCTTCGGATCGCCGAAGTCGCTTCACGGACATTTGTTAGGCTAACTTCTGCCGTCTCTTTTGGTGGACGTTGTACTTTGGAGCAATGACATTCACACACTCCCTCTTGGTCATGCTCGCTTATGATGACGATAGTTTTACGATAGTCTGCATTGTTGCACAGAACCGTTTCTTCGGCGCACATATACCTTCCCTTCTAGCGGACGAATTGTGATAACTGGGACTTATCCAATTTCTTTGACACACACCCGTCCGTAAATCGTGATACGGCATACAACTAATGGTTAGCTCAAACAGCTTCGACGATAGAAGATAATCGGATTTCGCCACGCTCGATAAGGTGGGATTAGAGTGCATACACCAAAGCGGTTTAATGAAAAAAAAATTAGGGGACCCTAAGGATTTCACCCTTAAAAATTGAACGTAATAGAGATATCCTGTTCTCAGTGCGCGCTTCAAACACTTAGTCCCCTGAAACTTTTTCGAACTTGCTATGTACCCATCTAGGGGGCCTCGAGGGTATAGGCGCAGTAGTGTGCCTTTTGTAATGAATTACCGGCTATAAACCACGAAGCCATTAATATAATCACATGTTCTGCCACCCGGAGTCAATGGGCGCTTGTACCACGCATTATTACTGCAATATTCGGTGCAGGTCGCGGGATCGAATCCCGGCTGCGGTGGCTGCATTTCCGATGGAGGCGGAAATGTTGTAGGCCCGTGTGCTCAGATTTGGGTCCGCGTTAGAGAAACCCTGGGTGGTCGAACTTTCCGGAGCCCTCCTCTACGGCGTCCCTCATGTGGTGGTTTTGTGACGTTAAACCCCACATATCAATCAAATCAACCCAATAGCTGGTGTTGCATTGGGAAGCGTGCAAACAGGACGCATGCGTTTGTAAAGCATGAAAGCTGCTTTCACTGCATTTCGAAGCGGAGGAAGTTCTTTTCACTGCATTCGCAAGCAGTTGTGTGGTGGAGCATCCGCCTGCCACGGAAACGAGCCAGGTTCACCACGAACTCGGATTCAAAACCGGCCCTGGTTCGGTCCCAACTCTGACCCAGCATTCATTTCACCATTTATTTCATTCACATCATTCCGAATTTTAGGGGCGAAGCTCCTTATGGCGTGGCTTGGGCGTCCCTCGTATGTAACCACCAGTGGCACATACCCGAGATAGGTATAACACTTGACCTCCAAGGTGGTGCCAGAGAGAGATTTCTTCTGTGCGTTGTTTAACAATAAAAAATAGTGCTCAATGTACATGCCAATGGCTGCTAATGGGGAATGAGAGACATGAGCATTCGGCTTTTAGTTAACGCGCACGCTGCGATCCCCATTAGCAGCCATTGGCATGTACATTGAGCACTATCGGACAAGAAAGGGATGCTACATTATACTCGCTAGGTGTAACCTCCTTAGCTTTAGAAAGGTTTAGCGAGCGTTGAGCAGCAGTGCCATGAATACAATGAACTTGTATATACCATGAATGAACTCAAGGTGGTTAAAAATGAGAAGTAGATACGAAGCGCAAGCCGTAAGAAAGTAAAAGCCGAATTCTCCTGTCTCTCATTTCTCATTAGCAGCCATTGGCATGTAAATTGGTCGCAGTGCCATGAATACAGTGAACTAGAATATACCATGAACTCGAGGTGGTTAAAGGTGGGAAGTGGACCCAAAGCGCAGGCCGTAAGAAAGTGTGCGTGTGCCACCTCTCGTTTAGTCCTTGGAATGTCCGCTGGATTGCGGTGCTTCTATATAGGGAATATATGATAAAAAGATGCGAGATGGTGGGACTTGAAGTGTTGAATAGATGAACGAACGGACACACAAACAGATGCATGGATGGACGCATAAACAGACGCAGGGGCGGATGCATGAAAGAACGCAGGGACGGGCGCACAAACGGACGCATGGACACTCAACTACGGCATCTCTCTAGGAGGATGGTTTTGGGACGTTTAAAAGCCCTATAATTTAATATATTCTAAGAAAGCGTGAGCAGGAAGAAGGTTTAAAAAAGAGAGTAAAATCGACAGGATGCTTGACCAACTGATGTTTTATAAGATCGGATAAACATTTATTCTTAGCGGGAACCGTCACCCCGCACATTGCCATAGTTTCTATCTGCACTACAATATCGCGTGTTTTCACAAGTCCGTTTCCTCAAGGAGCCGCAATTGCTTGCAAGAAATCTTTATTGGCGAATGAGTGATAGAAGTTGACCCCCTATTGTGAATGTGAATTGCCTCTGCAAGTTCCTTGGCGGAGCTATCATTGATCTAAGTGGCCATATCAGAAAAACTTGCTCCCCACCCACACTGCACCCAATTCACAGCTAAATATGTGAGTGGCCTTCCTCCAAGAAACAAAATGTGCTCACTTAGCCGAACATTCAGACAGAGACTCTTCAGATCCACTTAGAGGGAATTATTTTAATGGGGAGCTGGAGAGGTTTGCATGGTTTTTCACCTGACTGGCTACAACAGAGTCCGGGTGATAACACAGACATATACAATGATAAACACATAACACATACAGTTACATACACGCATAACAGTCACATAACACATAAAGTCACTCACACGCACTGCACTATTTACAACGTTTCGTTCAAGCCTATGGCCCGTAAGAATGTGTTATGCCAGCGAGTCCTCGTCGAACGTCCGTGCCTCGGAAAAAGGCAATCTGGGTCAAGGCCAGCCCGCAGTCCGCCGGGCGCGATCAACTCGACGGAGTGAACACGCGCGGCGCCTCCCTGGCCCACGTGCATTGAGTCAGCTGCGCGCGTGACAGCGAGCCGGCGTCCGCGTGTCTGGTGGTCTGACGCATGGCGCGGCGACCCCCATTGGCGGAATCTGCCCTGACGACCAGCGGCGCTTCTGATTGGACATTTTGGTTGGACCCGGTGTAAATAAAAGAAGCC